TTTTGTACGTGTCTCCCCCCACCCCCAAAGGAAACTCCTATCTTTTTTTCTTTTTTTTTAAGAATTACTTTATTTGCTCTTTGCTGCACTACTGTGAGGATGAAGACCTTCTCAGCAACCAGATGGTCGACATTCCTGAGAATGACATCGCCCTGAAGGGACACACAGTTATTGTGAGAGGCCCCCCGAGGAACCATGCAGAGGGACTTCAATCACATCCATGTCCAGCTCAGGCTCCTTGGGAAGAGAAAGAGGCTGCGGGTTGACAAATGGTGGGGCGGCAGGAAGGAGCTGGCTATGCTGTCTGTAGTCACGTCCAGAACACGATCCGGGGAGGACACTGGGCTTCCGCTACAAGACGAGGCCTGTGAACACCATTTCCCCATCAACGCCATTATTCAGGATGGGTCTCCTGTTGGAACCGAAATTTCTTGGGTGAAAAATACATCCAGAGGAGGGGACTAGCAGTTACCGTAATGGCTATGTCGCTGGACTCCCACGTAGTCCACCGCAGTTCGCGTCCTGGACCCGGTAGCTTAAAACTCACGCTGGACGCGTGTGCATGCGTGCCCAAGATCCCGAGAGGAGAATGGAGGAGAAGGGATTGCGGCGTGGCCATTCCCCCTGGGGGGTGATTTCTCGCTTTCTGTCTCTCTGTCTCTCTCTGTCTGGCGAGCGCACGTGCCCCATAGCAAAAACCTCTCTCTCTCTCAAAAAAAAAAAAAAAAAAAAAAATCCAGAGGGCTCGAATGCTGCTTGTTCAGTATCTCAAGCCCAGTAAGAAGATCCTTGAAGGCAATGATTGAACCTGTTTCGGATTCAGCTGCTTTGACACAGCAAGCCACAGCAGTTAGAATAAGGGTATAAGGAAATGCTTGGCTGGCATCCATGTCTCTGAGCAGGCTGATGAGTGAGACCTAAGAGTTCTCCAGCTCCAGGAACAAGCCGGATACTTTCTAAGGCCTTCATATGACATTTTAAAGATGATAATAAAAGACAACAATTGATTTGAAACTCTCTTAAACTGATTATCCTTTTCCAACTACTTGGCGCTTAAGCGATGGAAGAGTAAAGAATTACTCCCAGTAATAGGAGTATGCTAAGAACAATACGGAAGTCCTGATCGGGAATTCTTTTGTCTAGTTGTTCTCTTTGCAGGAACCAGTGGCTTAAATCTGGTGTTTGAAGGAATAGCAAGGATATTTCAGGCAAGAGAAATACAGTACCGGGATGTGGCCGTTCATGGATGTAGAGGTTGCGGGAGATCCTGAGGCCAGTTTTACCGTGGCATCAATGTTTATTTGGCACAGATGTGTCCTGGTCACTACGAAAGAGGCACCTGAGAAGCAGAACGGAGTGAAAGCCTTCCTGTGAGCCAGATGTACTCTGTGTCATGATGACGTAATTTTGCCCTCTGACGTCTCAGTAACCTGCCCTTCTTCAGCCGTGCACCCTAGACCTTGTGTATTTTTAAAAAATTGAATAATTCGGGAACCAGCAGTTAGCGTAATGGCTATGTTGCTGGACGTAGTCGACCGCGGTTCGCGTCCCGGACCCAGTGGCTTAAAACTCATGCTGGGCTCGTGTGCGAGCGTGCCCAAGATCCCGAGAGGAGAATGGAGGAGAAGGAATTGCGGCGTGACCATCCCCCCTGGGGGGTGATTTCTCGCTTTCTGCCTCTCTCTCTGTCTGGCAAGCACACGCGTCCTGCAGCGAAAACCTCTCCCCCCCAAAAATAAAAATTGAATAATTCTTCCATAATCTCTCTCTTTTCTTTTTTGGAGAAGTTTCTTTCTTTCTTTCTTTTTTTTTTTTTTTTTGCTATAGGGTGCATGCGCTCACCAGAAAGCCAGAGAGAGACAGAGAGACAGACAGAAAGTGAGAAATCACCCCCCAGGGGGATGGCCATGCTGCAATCCCTTCTCCTCCATTCTCCTCTCAGGATCTTGGGCACGCATGCACACGAGCCCGGCGTGAGTTTTAGCCACCGGGTCTGGGACTCGAACTGCAGCCGACTACGTGGGGGGCCAGCAATATAGCCATTACGCTAACTGCTGGTCCCCATAATCTCTTAATTCCTTATGTCACACTTAAAAGTGCAATGTGATTCTACCATGCTAGAACATAACGTAACATGGTTCTCACACACAAAATTTACTTTATTTATTTATTTTAATTTTACCAGACAGGGATAAAGAGCAAGTGAGAGAGAGGGAAAGTGAGAAAACAAACTACCAGGCCTGGGACTTGAACCTCAGTCTTTCATATGGGAGTCCAGAGCCCTTCACCACACCATCTGCCAGCCCCATGTATGTGTCCCTTTTCTAACTGCAGGATGTTTCACTATGGGGACACCAGGATACGTGGCCGAGGCATCTGGCACACCCTGTGGCTGCTAGTCGGTCAGAAGGTGTGGACCAGGAGGGCCCTGCAGCCTGCACACCTCCTGGGCACCTCGGCGGTGGCAGCTCTCTCTGCCATTCCTCGGGACACCAGCTGGGGAGGGTCCAGTGACAGGGCTGCACAGCCACCTGAGCATTGGCTGCTGGGGAAAGGGGTCCACTTTGTGGGTCAAAGGCCTGGTCTAGGTGAGTTAGGGGTGGAAATGGAAAAAAAGACAAATATGTGAATGTAATACGTGAATTTTTAAATTTTTTCGGAGAGGTTTTGCTATAGGGCGCATGCACTCGCCAGAAAAAGAGAGAAAGAGACGGAGAGTGAGAAATCACCCGCCACCTCAATCCTTTCTCCTCCATTCTCCTCTCAGGATCTTGGGCACACAGGCACATGCACCCTTGTGAGTTTAAGCCAACGGGTCCGGCACTCAAACCGTGGTCGACTACATGGGAGTTCAGCAACATAGCCATTACGCTAACTTCTGGTCCCCATGAATGTCATTTTCAAGGAAAATAAATCTGCTGCCCTCTGTAACAGCCTGACTTCCCCGAACAGGTAAGGGACAGCGACAGCAGCTGCTGGGGGGCTGGTGGCCGAGCACCGCTTCGGCCTTCAGTCCTCCCACTCCATGGCCTCCCTGGTGCCTGGAGCTGCATCTAGGGCCCCAGACCCTTCCAGAAAATCCCCGCCCTTCCTCACGGCCCCCAGGCCAAACCCGGAACGCGGGAGGAAGGCGGCTGTGCCTTGTGCCCTGCGCCCCTGGGATGGCACCAGGGCCCCGCGGGAGCCGACCGGGCGGTCCGTGGCAGAGCTGGCTGACCCGGGGTGGTGGGGCGTGGGCCCTTCCCCAGGCCTGCGCCCTCCCCAGGTGCTGGGGCCAGCCTCAGCCCTTGGCTCCTGCAGGCTGTTCACTCGCAGGAAGATGGAGATCCGTGGGGAGAAACCGTGGCTGGAGGAGGCCGCAGCCTCTGGGTGGGGACGAGGTGGCAGGCGTCCCCACCCCTACTCCTGCAGGGATGAGCAGAGGCTCCCTTTCCCCTGCTCCAGGAGTCACGTGGCCCACTGCTCTCTCCTACTATGTGATTGCCCTGTTTCCTTAGAAATGGAATCCTGAGGGCCAGCGGGTGGCATGGTGGTTGAGGTGCTGAACTCCCACTTGGCCAACTATGGTTCGAGTCCCGGACCTGGTGGCTTGAGGAGCATGCACGTATCTGCACGTCCACAATCCTGAGAGAATGGGGGAGGATTGTGGAGTAGCCATCCCTGTGTGTGTGTGTGTGTGTGTGTGTGTGTGTGTGATTTCTCACTTCCTCTCTCTTCTGCGACTATGGCAAAAACCTGAATGGAAAAATGGAACCCACGTGTCTCAGTGGGCACATGGCTGCCTGGAATGAAGACCCCACGTCCCAGCTCCCCTGCAGCTGCGTAGCCACATGGCAACTTGTGGCCAATGACATGGAGAAGTATGTGTAGCACTTTCGGGAAGAGTCCCTTTTAAAATTGGTAAGTTTTTGCTATAGGGCATGTGAGTTCACCAGAGAAAGACAGAGGGAAAGTGAGAAAGCAAGCCACCAGGTCCAGGACTCAAACCATGGTTGGCCATGTGGGAGTCTAGCGCCTTAACCACCATGCCACTGGCTGAACCTAGGAAGTGTCTTTGAAGGGATAGACCCTTTCCTGTATCTTTTGCCTTGTTAGCTCAAACATGGATGTGATGGTTGGAGCCTCGGTGGCCATTTTGGGCCATGAGGTAGGTGCCTGTTGAAGAAAACGTATGGAAAGAGCCTGATCCTGACACTGGGGATACCATGCCCCCCTCAGGCTTCGTTCACGTAAATGAAACTTTCACCTCATTGAAGTTATTACTTTTTAATTTGCCAGAGGGCACGTGTACTCACCTAAGACAGATGGAACGAGAGGGAGAAAACACCCCCAAGTGGGGTGAGGTCACACTGCAGTCCCTTCTCCATCTCTCCCTCCCTTTGAGATTTGGACATGCATGCGCACACGCCCTGTGCTTCCTCCATCTGTCGGTTACTGGACTTGAACCACATGATCCACCATGTGGAATTCAGCCACCCTAACCAGCACCCCACTGACCTGCCCCTTATCCTTACGTAGTTTGCTGTAGGGTGTGTGTGCTCACCAGGCAGGGGGCAGGAGATTGAGAAGGCACCCTTTGGGTGGGTAATTATGCCACAATCCTTCCTCCTCTTGAGCTTTCGAGCGTGCACACATGCGATTGGCGTGTTCCGCAAGCCTTTGGATGTATCGCTTGGCAGTCAGCCATGTGGGACCCAGCTCCTTAACCACCAGGTGGCTGGATGCCACACGGCTGACTGCGTGTTCCAGTCCAGGACCCGGTGGCTTTTTTTCTTAATTGCCTCTGGGTCCCGACTCGCAGGCCGGCTTTCGGGAGGGAATGAACAGCTCCCCCTCCGTGTGAGTGGGGCGGCAGCAAGCGCAATGGGACGTGACCATGAAGAGTGTGTGTGGCAGGCCGGGAGCCAGGAGGGCTGGGAGGGCTCAGCTTTGGCCACCAGGCCTCTGGGAGTGTGAAGCCCAAAACGCAGGAACTAGGAATTCTTTTCAAAAAAGGTCTGGTTCTTTATTCACGATAGTGTGACTCCTCTGTCTGGCAGTGACCTGAATGAAGCACAGGAAGCGCTGCTCAGCCCTTGGGGTCAGAGGGAGAGGGAGGCCCCAGGGTGCTCCTGCCCAGCTCGCCCCCACCTCCTATTCACTGGGCAAAGGGGAAGGAAAGTTCATTTTAGAGAGTTGTGTCTTGGAGGGTTAGGACGATAAGGCCATTCCTGGAGCAGGGTGGTGGCAGTAGATAAGGGGGTGTGTGGCTCGGGGACCCGAGGAGGACAGCATGCCCTGGAGCTGGAGGCACGTTCCTCAGCGCACACGCCCATGCCGTGGCCTCCCGTCATCCCGCAGGAGGGCAGTCGTTCATTCAGAGCTCATCAATCCACAGCCCTCCACTGCTCCCTGACGCTTCCCCTTCTGATTTGACGAAGCTGGAGAGTGGTCAGCAGAAAGAGCCTGGGGTGCGCCAGGGCGGGCTCGGGATCCCCAAGTCGTCCAGAGGCGGCTGGCTCGGAAAGCTAGGACTAAAACAGACACGTTTCCAGTGCCCGCATCGTGAAGGAGCACGTGAGGCAGGCAGAGGGGCTTAGCCATTTGAAACTGTCCCGAAGTGTCTGCAAGGTGGACGTTTGAGTCTCCTTTTGCGTATCATACTTTGGGTATGGAAATTTTTTTCTTTTTTTTGAGAGGTTTTTGCTATAGGGTGTGTGTGCTCACCAGACAGAGAGATACAGAGAGACAGAAAACGAGAAATCACCCCCCCAGGGGGGATGGCCATGCCACAATCCCTTCTCGGGATCTTGGGCACACACACACACGTGCCCGTTGTGAGCTTAAGCCACCGGGTCTGGGACTCAAACCATGGTCGCCTATGTGGGAGTCCAGCGACATAGCCATTACACTAACTGCTGGTCCGGGGCATGGAAGTTTTACAATATGAATTGATTCAGTAATATTAGGTAGCTCTGATCCAATAAGGAAAACAGGGATGAGAAGTAAAAACCAGGGGTGTGAAGGTGGTATAGTGGTTAAGGGCACTGGACTCCCACATGGCTGACTATGGTTCGAGTCCCTGACCTGGTGGCTGGCTTTCTCACTTTCACTCTCTCTCTCTCTCTCCCACTCTGGTCTAAATAAATAAATAAATAAAGTTAAATAAAATAATTCTAAAAAAAAAAGAGCAAACCATGGCAGAACCTCAAACATTATTAATAAAATCAATGGTCTGGAAGGAATGGTCGAGCTGATAATGCCCATGAGAGAGAGTGCCATGAAAACACGGCAAGGCCGTGCCCGAGTTGGGAACGGACAGGGCTGTTCTGAGTAGGGCCGATAATGTGTACGATGGGCCCAGAGAGTCCGTGTTCAGACCATGGAAGGGCCGTATTGGTGGGGCGCCCGAAGGGAAGTCTCTGTCCCCCAAGAATAAGGTTTCTATGAGGTCCCCATCAAGAAGAGTTCCCCATGGGGACCAGCAGGTGGCATGGTGGTAAAGGTGCTGGACACTCCCACATGGCTGACCACAGTTCAAGTCCTGGACCTGGTGGCTTGCTTTCTCACTTTCTCACTTTCTTTCTTTCTCTCTCTCTGTGTGTCTGTCCCTCTCTAGTCAAAATAAATGAATGAATAAATAAAATAAATCTTTTTTTTTAACAAAGAAGAGTTCCTCTGGTGAAAAGCGAAGCCTTCCCAGGTGCAGGGTTGCCATGCACACTTCCCTAGGGAGCCAGATCCCCCAGTCCAGGTCTGTCATGGGAGAGGAGGGTCAGCCCCCACCCCCCTGGAAAGGGAGGGCTAGTGGTGTGTGCCCCGTGCTGGGTGGGTGTTCAGGGGAAGACAGAGCAAGAGGGTTACCTTCTGACTATTTTGAGAAATCACGCTGAGGTAGGCGAGAAATCGATTTTCTGGGGTGATGGGCATGCCCACGTTTTGAAGAACGGCTTCCGCTTGTTGCTGTAGCTTTTTCAGCTGGCTCCAGGTGACTCCCGGGGCTTGCCGAGTGCTAGGCAGTGGTTTCTGTTTGTCCAGGCCGGTGTTCTGGGGTCCAGGCTGAAGTCTGGGGTCCATGATGAAGCTGGGTCCTTTCCAGTGATACCCACTGGCTTCCTGTAGGTGAAGACACATGCAGACCCTCTGGCCTGGGGCACGCAGGGGGCAGGGTCCTTCCCATTGTGAGTTTGGGTCCCAACCCCAGATATTGGCCTGTAATCGGGGAGCAGGTTGATATCAGGGTAATTGCCAATGTCTTTGATAGACTGTAGTATTTTGTTTATCAAGATTTAAAAAAAACAATAGTATATAAAGCTCTGGAGAGCCTTTCTCGAGGGAATTCCCCTGGGGTAGAGGGATGGCCCCGTCCCTTTCTTTGAGAGAGATTTTTGTTATAGGGTACGTGCACTTGCCAGGGAGAGAGAAAGAGAGACAAAGAGAGGGAGAGAGAGAGATAGAAAGTGAGAAATCACCCCCTGGGGGGATGGCCACACCACAATCCCTTCTCCTCCATTCTCCCCTCAGGATCTTGGGCACACACGCACACGCGCCTGGTGTTGAGTTTTAGGTCACTGGGTCTGGGACTCAAACTGCAGTGGACTACGTGGGAGTCCAGTGATGTAACCATTACACCATATGCTGGTCCCCACTTTTGTTTTTAAAAATAAGCCTTAAGAGTACAGTGTGGGGGCAGGCAGGTGGCGTGGTGGTTAAGGGCGCTGGACTCCCACATGGTCGACCACGGTTCAAGTTCCAGACCTGGTGGCTTAGTTTCTCTCTCTCTTTCTCTCTCTGTGTATGTTTGATTAAACTGAAAAATAATAATAAAGTTAAATACAATAATTCTTAGAGAAACAAACAAACAAACAAACAAACAAACAAAACCAGAGTAGGGTGTGCTTGTTCTATAAGAGACCGGCCAATAGGATTATGAGGAATTCCAGTAATAGTCGTATTTGGAAATCTTGGAAAATCCGAGTGAACCTGAGACTGGTAGAGTAGGGGCCATCGTCTGTTTTTAACTGTTTGGGACATCCCTCATGGTATCGCATTCAAGATGAGTCCGAGCACGAGCCGTTTTCTCCAGATGAAGGGGTGGCAGGGATACCTTTACAGGAAGTCTGTAGTTACACAAATACCTCTCAGCTGACCAAAGGAAGGCCCACGGGCAACACCGTCTGCCAGGTACGGTTACAGTGAGCGTGAAGCTCTCCGGGCCACCCCCTCCCACCCCCGAGGTGGGGCTGAAGTCAGCTGCCGGGAGGGACAGTTCGGGCTTGTCCAGCGACATGGAGAGTGACCAGCGCTGGAGCGTCCTGGTGGTGGAGACGTGGAGATCGCTGTGCCTGGTTAAGGGTAGGAGAGAGGGTGGCAGAGCTGGGGATGTGTGCGATCCTCTCAGAGGGGCTGTGAGTTCGAAACGGACGTCATAATCTTTATTGGCAGTACTTTTATGTGAGCCTGTCCACTATGAACCCTCTGAACAAGTAAATGGGAATCAGACACCACGTGAAGAGGCCGAGGAGGGAAGTGTAAGGCCGAGGCACGGCCCCTCTCTTGGCTTGCTGGGGCGCAGGAAACCGAGGGAGAACCACTCTGTGAGTTCTCCCTGAGCCCATGGCAAGGTGGCCAGTGTGGGGACGGTGCTCAGGGATCCCTGCAGGGCTGGGGGGCTAAGGGTTCAGAGGAAGGGCGAGGGCATAGACAGGGCTAATGAAATCTGCTGAACAGTAAATAGATGTAATAATTGATTGGTAGCTAGTCTCAAAACGGGATGAATCCAATTTATATTTCTAAGTAATTGTTGTAAGAGTTGAGGTTAAGTTTAATTGGAATATATAATGTTAATTTTTGAGGCCTAATAGTACATGTTTTAACTGTATACCCGAGGTATACTCAAGGACTTTTTTTTTTTAGTGAGAAATCACCCAGGGGTCATGGCCACATTGAATCCCTTCTCCTTCTGGGATGCATGTGCACAAGCCCCGTGTGATGTTCAAGCTACCAGGTCTGGTGTTTGAACCACAGTTGGCCATGTGGGAGTCTGGCACCTTAACCACCACGCCACCTGCTGGCCCCCACCAAGGACTTTTTAATTGGACTTTTTTAGGGGCCGACTTGTGACTAATGGCATTACATCATACAATTAGCTTTAGAATATTAATAAAAACCTTAATTTTATTACTCTTTTAACTTTTTCTTAGACTCTTTAAACACAACTCAAACCTTCAACAATATGCTTTGGATCTTTTAGTTTTTGTCCCTTCTTTTCTTCTATTCGGATATAATCTAGCCATTTTATCTGGTTTTTTTTTTTTTTTTAAAAATTTTTTTTTTGGGAAGCACCACTCTCGGGAA